AATTGAACAGGACTTAGTTGTTTAATTTGCGTCCGACGCGAAGGTGCGATGGACGCTGTTGTTGCTGTGGTGTTGGCTGCTGGCGCTGTTGTGCCGGGGAAGCTTGCTGTCGCTGTGGTGGTGCAGCTTCCTGCTGCTGCTGCTGCTGCTGCTGCTGTGGTTGTTTTGGTTGTTGTCGTTGCGTAGGTTGGTATGTGGATGGCGACGCAGGCTGTTGCTGAGTGGAACGATAAGAGTTCTGAGTAGGCTGTAGACTGGGTCGTGGACTGACAGCACGAGGTGGCTGGGGTGAAGCAACCCTGGGAGGCTCTTGTTTCGTTGGGCTTCGACTCGAAGAACGGGCACTTTCTCCACCATTGAACATGTTCGCCTTTTGACTGACGTACATTTGAGTTGTCTTTTGCATTTGACGAGCAGTATGTGCAGGCTTCGGAGCTCCCAGACGCGACATGGGCGGCTGCTCATACGGTGGAGGCGTACCTCGCTTTGCAGCGCTCAGAGCGACGTTTGCTAGAGGTGTTGGTGCACTCCCAGGTAGGCTTGCACCCACAGCAGGTGTTGCTGGAGGTGCAGGCGTTGCAAGTCCAAGATAACGGTCGGCCGTCTGACGTCCAGTTGGCTGCTTCGTAACGCCCTTGAGTTCCTCCAAAGCTTGAGCAATGGGATCTAGCTCCCCTTCAGGCTCCTTCTCGTTCTGCTCCAGCTTCTTCTTGTCTGGAGAAGCTACGTCGAACACATTGTTTCCAACGTTCAACTGGAAATTGGCACGAGGGTCTACTGGTTCAGGACTGGCAGAGCGCGGTGCGTCTTGACGCATTGTACCACGCGTACCTCTGCCGTATGCTGACTTGGTTGGACTGACATTCTCCTCGGTCTGTCTTCGCGTTGGCCCCCAGGTGTTCCGGCTAGTGGGTGTCAGGACAGGAGGTTTTTCCTCTTGCCTACTCTTCCTCCGAGCAAAAGGACTGTTGAAGAATCCTCTCTTCTTCGCCACAGCGGTTTCCTCGACAGGAGTGCTCGGGCCAGGCTCTGCAAAAGATGATTGCGGCATCGGCTTTCCAGGGGATGCGGAACCACTTGGTGGCTCAATGCTTTCAAAAGAGGTAGGGTTCGAGTAATCGCTCTGTGAATCTCTGCTCACAGGACGAGCTGGGCTTGGAATAGTGCTGCGATCAGATGGCGGACCAATTCTGCAGAACTGCGTCATGCCATCTGCCGGATAGTCATTATGGGGGATCTGACTTTGCTGATAGTTTTGTCGAGCTTGTTCCTGAGCTTGTACTAGCCTGGGATCTGGCTGCACTGCTCGTTGTGACTGGGGTGGCTGCACGTTACGCTGCGATTGAAGTGGCTGAATCTCCCTCGGTGATTGAGGTGGCGGCATTTCCCGCTGCAGTGGTGGTGGCTGCATCTCGCGTTGTGAGTAAGCTCGCTCTCGCTGCGGGCGCATGGACTGCACTTCTCGTTGCGATTGAACCGGGTGCATGTCGCGTTGAGACTGCAGTGGTTGCACGTCTGGTGGTGACTGAATGGGTTGCATATCTCGAGATGATTGGGTCTGATGCATATCCCGAGATGATTGGGTCTGATGCATATCTCGAGATTGAGTCTGATGAATATCTCGGGGTGATTGGGCATAATGCATATCTCGAGGTGGTTGAATTTGATGCATGTCCTGTGGTGAGTGCATTGGATGCATGTCTCGAGGTGAAGGAGCATGTTGCACATCTCGAGGTGATTGGCTTTGATGCATGTCTCGAGGTGATTGAGTCTGGTACATGTCTCGATGTGACTGCATTGGCTGCTGTGTCTGAATGGGTTGCACTTCTCTCCGTGTCCGAATTGGCTCCGCCTGTCGCACGGGTTGAGCGTAGTCTACAGGCTGAGGGGCCTGTATTGGCTGTGGAGTCTCTGCAGCCTGTCGGGAAGGGACATCTATCTGATCCTGCTGTGGAGCCATGTTGATCTGGTCTTGGGGAACCGGTTTCGTGTCCCGTTGGAGTCCGAGCTCTCGTGCCAGCGGATTGTTGGGATCATGATGGGATTCAAAAACTGACGGTTGAGGCGATGAAGCTCGGTAGGCTGGGTTCATAGTCCTTGCAAACTGTGCTACCGAGTAATTCTCATCTTCCGAAGCTTGGGACGATGTCTCGGCGTCCCCTCTGCAAAAGTTGATGAATTTGGGAGGATCAGGGATTTCTTGGCCTGTTCCCGATTCTGCGATGAAGTTGCTGATGTCCTTCTCCACATCGCAGTCTTCCAGTGATAGCCTTATCTTCTCACACGAGGCATCGTCGCTGACGCATACTGTTGAGGCGATGTTGGCAAAGTTCCACAGACTACTCTTGGTGTAGTCGATGCGCTCCTCCTCTAGGTCCTGGAATTTCTATGCAGTTGTTAGTGGCTTCCTCCATGGTCGGCCTGGTGAGACGTACGTCGCATGCTGCCTTCCAGTCCCTGTTCCACCTGCCTGTCGTCTCCTCGAGGACCTTTACCGCTGCCTCGTACTCGGCGCTTGTCGTCGACAAGTTGATCTGTGTCTTCTCCAGCCTGGCCTTGTTCTTTCTTTCTTCGTGGCCCATGACCATGTGTGCCTGGGCTAGGAAACCCTTGATCTTCAGACAGTCCTGCTCGTATCGGTCGCGCGCCTTATTGACGGTCGCGGTCTGCTGCATCTTCAGCTTGAGCAATTTTTCTATACCGTTCTGCACAATTTTCCTGCGTTCCTTCATACCACCTGCAAAGGCGGCTAGTGGTTCTTCCAGCTCCGTCTTCATCTGCTGTGCTATGCTCTGATGTGCCTTGCCCATGGACTCGACCTCGGCCTTGATCACGTCGCATGAGAGGCGCAAGGTACCGGTTTCGCAGGAGCCAAGGGGCTTTCGGGAGAGATTGAGGAGTTTGCGCGAGTATTCCTCTTCAATGGCTGCTCGTGCAGCGTAGAAATTCTTGAGTTCGTCATTGGTGACTTTGGCGGCGTGCATGCGGTCGAGCATAGGACCGACGCCAGCGTCATCTTTGCCCCAGAAGTTGTTGGCGACTTGTCATGTCAGTTTCCTGTTTGCTGCCAATCCTGCTGCGAAGCTCAACAACCTACACGAGAGGGAGACCGAGGGCGGCTCCATCGCCGCTGCACCGCCCATGGCGCCTATGATTTAGGGTTGCAGTGAAGGTAGTAGCAGTTGCAGAAGCAGCTGGCGATGGTGTGCGAAAGGGAGTGTTCGCAAGGAATAGTTGGACAAATTAAAATATACGGATGTTGTATGTACCGGTAGCGTGCGTGCTCGTAGAGTCGTAGATCAGGCCTAGTTACTGTACATATGTAACCTGGGGTCCTGGTTGTTGACGGCCTTTCCAAGCTTGTCCGGGGGTTGTGCTGCACGTGTGTTGTTGGCGCCCCTCTCCATCTCCCGGGAAACGGCGAGGGCGGGGAGGGGAGGGGAGGGGAAAGCTACTTTAGTACTCTACTTAGCCACCCAAGCCAGATCAGCCAGCCCGCCCAATCAACGACTTTGCGTTGTCCACAAGTCGTCGAGTCTTGACGACACGTCACAGAGAGCTCCTGCACGAGCAATGAGCCGTATACGTATATACGTACAAGAGTAGGATGCACTGTTTCATTGGGAGCCAATCTATACCCGCAGTATCGTTATAGGTGGCCGTCTTTGATGGTAATTCGAAAGACTACCCACACCAGCGTCTTCTACAAGATGAGAGAATAATTGGCTCGAAAAGACCAAGCGACAATTGCCACCCCAAGTGAGTGAATTGTAAATGTTCCAGAACCTCTCACAACACTGGTAGCTGGCTGTTTCTCATGATAACGCCTTGTATCACATATATTCTATCGCATCGCGGTTTGGAGGATCGAAGTCGGGGCAGCTCACAAGTGCACCACCCTACCTTACTCTGCATGGACACTTTGCCAAACAAAATCGAATGCACGAACAGAGCCTCAAAGCTGGCGATGTGCAAGAGCGAATATCAGAAACACTGCATGTAGTAAAGTATGTTCTATTACAAAGGGTAAAGTAGGTTGGGAAAAAACAGGTGGTAAGTTTTGGGTGCAGCGAGTGCAGTTGTCAGTGAGAGGGAGAGGGAGAGAGAGAGAGAGAGAGAGAGAGAGCCGCATGGCACCTGCATCTGCTACAGGCAATTCAATTTAACGCATGCTTACCTTTTTTTCAAGGCGCGTGCATGGAGAAGAATGGTTGTAGTTAGGAGTAGAGTGGGGTGCAGAGGGAAAGTAAGTGTGTTTTGCATGATACAGTACTGTGTGCTGGCTTGTAAATTCATCCTCATGTTACACTACCTGTGTAGCCCACTGTCACTGCAAAGACGGTAATTGCGGTCCGGACAAGTCACAGGACTGCCTCTCA